TTGCCAGCACCCTTTGCTTTGCACATGGTTCTGTCTCACTTTTCCTCCCAGGGAAAACGTGCAGGTGCAGTTCTAATTCTTGAATATTAATTATAATAATCTCAGGATAGTTTGGGTTGGAAGACACCTTAAAGCTCATCTCTTTCCCACCTCTGCCATGTTCAGGGACACTTTCCACTAGACCAGGGTGGGTTTCAAACCCATTTGGTTTCATGATGTGTCTAAATCCTTCCCACTTTGGGCTTCTTGTCTTCTTTTCACTGATGTGAATTGCTTTGATAATTGACCATAATCCCTCGTTTTTTCCTTTCACTAAATAACTGAGGGATGCTCTGGGAGTGGGATGCCCTAGAGATGCAATCCTGATCCTGCAGGATTCAAGAGAACCAGGATTTCCATTTGTAAGTTTAGTGTACTCCCTTAATGATTTAATCAGCGAGCGAAGAAAGGCAGAGAAAAACACGATGGTACATGGAGTGCTTTGTGTCCTTTATTTTCCATACATTTCACTAATTACATAAACAGATGATATTTACAGGGGACTTCTGCCTGTAATTGACCTTCATCTCTTCCTGTGCACTTCCCAACCTCTCCTTGAATTTTCCTATTGTTTCCTCTTGCTCATTCCACATTTAACACCACGTTTCAAGCAGTCCTTTTCTTTTGCTTGGGACCATCCTACCAGTTCCCTATTCCCAATTCCTTCAAACTTCATCTCCTCAGATCAATTTTCTGGGCAATTTTGGAACTCATGGCATGGACAAACATCTTCTCCAAAGGCTAATCTTCAGGTTTCCCTCCAGTTACAGCACAATTGCTCTTTTCCTTTTTATGTGATCATCGGTTCTCTGGAGCAAGAATATTTCTTTTTGTCTTTTATCTGGTCTTTCAGAAGCTGCAGCAGCACAATCCACTTTTAGGGGTATCTGCCTTATTTTTCTTTGAAATTTTTCTCTGTGTTGGGTCGAGCAGGGGAGGAATTGCAGAAACTGTGAGGGGTTAGAGAAAACCCCTGGTTAGAGTTCAGCAGCGTTCCCATGGCTACTGGGACAGGTACACCACAGAAACAGGAATACCTTGGCATTTAACAGCCCTTCCAGGTGATTTATGGTTTTACACAAGCTTTTCCTAAACCCAGAGGTTTTCTAAGGTTGGCACTTCTTTGCTTGTCTCCATGCCCTGTTAGTTCTGTGCTCAGTGGCCCGTGATTATTAAAATTCTTATCAATAAAGGAGTTTCTGAGCAAGGTTCTTATTTTCTAAACTCATGCATACCTTTGGAACTCCTCTGCTTAACCAAAGGAACATTTGTTTTATGCCTAATGTACTTCATGAAAAGAAAGAAATGTGTAGAGCTCAAGTAATATTTGCCTTCAATTACAGTAATTAAGTTGTCAGGACTTGAAGTCACTAAGGCAATGAGAAAATCCTTTCCTGGTTGGCCAGGATCTTCTGGGCTCAAGCGTGTTTTCCACATTGGGGTGGGGAGGGAAACAGTTCTGGCCCAAAACCTGGGAGTCTGTTTGTCCTTTTGCAATCCAGGGTGTCAAAATCCTGCTGTGGAGGGAAGGGAAATGACACAGTTTGCCTGGGCTTCAGCAGGGCCAGGGCAGTGATTGTCCCTCTGTGCTGGCACTGCTGGGGCACCTCCAGTCCTGGGGACATTTCAGGAGAGACCTGGAGGGGCTGGAGGTGTCCAGGGAAGGGAACAGAGCTGGGGAAGGGGCTGGAGCACCAGGAGAGGCTGAGGGAGCTGGAAAGGGGCTCAGCCTGGAGAAAAGGAGGCTCAGGGGGGACCTTGTGGCTCTGCACAACTCCCTGACAGGAGGGGAGCTCTGCTCCCAGGGAACAGGGACAGGATGAGAGGGAACAGCCTCAGGCTGTGCCAGGGCAGGGTCAGGTTGTACATCAGGAGGAATTTCTTCATGGAAGGAGTTGGTAAACATTGGAAGGGGCTGCCCAGGGAAGTTTGGAGTCCCCATCCCTGGAGGTGTCCAAGGAAGGTCTGTACATAGCACTCAGTGCTTTGGGCTGGCTGACAGGGATGGTCACAGGATGGACTTGATGGTGTTGGAGCTCTTTTCCAACCTAAATGATCCTGTGATGACATGGGATTCTCTGCTTGTTGGGTTAGGTCTTATTAAAACCAGGTGTAATACAAATATAGCTCAACTCATTTATCCTGGGAATTCTGTCTTGTTAAACTTTTGCTGCAGCTCCCCTTTCAAATGTAACCTGTGTGTGGATACATCCTGTTTTTCCCCCTGTTCCACATCCCTTTTCAGGCTTCTTTGCCAGAAGTCAAATAGTTTCTGTTACTTCATAACCCCTCAGGAACGCTGCAACATATCCCTACAAGAAAAGTCCCTAATTTTGATAAGTGCCCACACAAACATCACTGGAATCTCAAGTGCAGCCTTACTTTCGTTCCACTGGAATAGTTCTCTTGAAAGCAGATGGATGAGGAAACCACCACTCATAATGCATCACTAATGACACCAATTTGTGCATTCCTGCTCATGGGACTAAAGGTTATGGATGCATAAGGAGCCAGACCTGGAAAACCTTACTCACAAACCCTAATAAACTCCACTTCAGCCCTCAAGTTTAATGATGCCCTCAAGAGAGCCAGGTCCCTTATCTGCAGCATCATGCAATAACTATAAAATGTTGAGATAAGTGGAGTTTTCTCTCCCAGCTCTCTGCTGGCCTTCCCCAACTATCAGGTTATGGTGAAAGTGGCTGTGAAAGGCAGTGAAAGTGGCTGTGTGTTGGAACCCTGAAGCCTGGGATTTTTGGGCTTTCTGTGCTTTCTGGCACTGACCCCCTGGAGAACACTGCTTTTGATTTGAGACCTTGGAGAAAGCTTCACAATTTGAGTGATGGAGTTAAAATCACAGGGGTGTAGTTAAACAGAAGTGTGTGATTTCACATGGTGAAGGGTTTTGAATTTAGGATTTTTAGAATATAGTAATAGGTATGGGACAAGATGGAAGCCTTTAGGTGTTGTCTCCTTTCTGTCTTATTCTTCCTTCTTCTTCATACTTTCAGGCAGCAGGTTTTGGTTGGATAATTAGTGCTGCACTGTGGGTCACGGGTGTTTGGTTATTGGGTCAAAAGTATAAATAATATAAGTGTTAGTTCTTTATTGGACTGTTTAGCTTTAAAAGACCTTGTAGACAGCTAGACTGGTCTCCATTTTGTTCACTTTTAGCTGGTAGCTAGAAATGTTGTAGAACTCTCTGTACTTTAAATAAGATTTACTTAACAACGAAGTCCAAACATGAGAAATTAGTCTCCTTCGTGTTTTTAATCCTGACTCTGAGTAAAAACAGAATAAAAACAAGCCACTAATTAGGTGTACAACTAACCCATTTACAGCTGTGAAATCTGACTGCTCTGATTCGGGCAGGCAGGATTCAGGATGTGTGGGTAGATCGGGTGCTCTTACCCATCCTTGTGCATTTATGAATGGAAAAACAGAATTTTCTCTGACTATAATCCCTCTGGATCCCCTTTCATTCAGGAAGGGGTTGTAGGGCAAATGTTGGTGAGGATTCTACACCATCTTCCCCAGCTTTTCCCATCTAGAGGAGGTACCTGGTTCCCTGTGGTGTTAAAGGTGTGTGGTGTTTTTAAGACCTAAAAAAAACCAAATAATGAGTGGAGGGAGCTGGGAAAGGGGCTCAGCCTGGAGAAAAGGAGGCTCAGGGGGGACCTTGTGGCTCTACACAACTCCCTGACAGGAGGGGACAGCCAGGGGGGTCGGGCTCTGCTGCCAGGGAACAGGGACAGGAGAGGAAATGGCTTCAAACTGTGCCAGGGGAGGGCGAGGTTGGACACCAGGAAGAATTTCTTCATGGAAAGGGTGGTCAGGAGTTGGAAGGGGCTGCCAGGGAGATTTGGAGTCCCCATCCCTGGAGGTGTCCAAGGAATGCCTGGATGTGGCACTCAGTGACACACTGGTGACAGGGTCAGGTCAGTCACAGGCTGGGCTCGATGGTCTTGGAGCTCTTTTCCAACCTGAATGATTCTGTGATTCTGTGAAAGTTTGGGACATTTCCAAGAGTCATTTGTGACTTTTGCCAAGCAAAAGGCTGTACCACAAAGGCTTTGTTTTGAGTGCATTGGTATGTATGTGAACAAACCTTAATTTCAGCTGCCTTTCTGGTTTGTTTCTTTTGTAAATCTCAGATAATTTAACAAATTATACATTTCCATCTTGTGGCATTTGTTGCTTTCTCAGTCAATTCTCTTCATGCCATCCATAACATCCATCTCCAGAGCTGTACTTTGCTTTTAGTTTGATATTTCCTTTCTAGAAAGGAGACTCTTCACCTGCAGCTGGAGATGAGCAGCTCTTTATTTCATGTCTGCAGAAACCTTGTAAGATGTAACCTGTGATGTTGTTTGTGCCATCTGATAACCTGTGATCAAATGGTGCCTGTTTAAATAACAACATCTGGGACACCCTGACAGCAGAGCAGCTCTGAAACAAACATTTGCAAAGATCAGATAAGATGGAGGAGATGCCTCAATGCTGGATTGCTCCCTGGATCACAGGTTCTTTGCTGAAGAGTCATTCCAGGCATGGGATTTCCTTTGTGCCACAGGCTAATGGATTGCAGTGGATCATTTTTCTTGCTGATTTATGTCTTGCAGGGACTTGTGCTTTGTAAAGTCAGTGTAATGCACTGAGTATGACACTGGTAGACATAAGTTATGTAGGAGTAGGTAAAGTAAGGAACTCAGAACAACTGGAAACTGTCTTGGTTTGTGTTCTCTTGCTGCCTTCCCTCCTTCCACCTCTTTTCCCTAAACCTACAGCATTTCACATGAAGGGTTGCCTCACTTTCACCCAAATCTGTACTGTCACAGTTAATTTTCAAAGCTCCACGTTGCTTTTCAGTATTTTCCTTATTAGTGTGCAAAAAAAACCCCAGCATTATGTTTAAAGCCATGGCTCCTGACTCACTCCTGCTCATCTCTGTTCCCTTGCAGGAGGATATTGCTGATCCTGACTCCCAGGAAGAGAAGAGCAGCTGCCTCTGCAGCCCTGGAGACGGTTCCAGTACAGTCAAGAGTGCTCTCACTGTCCAGGAATATTTTGCCGAGCGTATGGCAAAGCTGAAGGGATCCCAGGAGGAAGCAGAAGCAAAGGTGGATCATTCCAGCCCAGCAGCTGATGAAGCTGTGGAGCCTTCAGAAGAACTGGAAACCAAAGCCAAAAAGAAAAAGAAGAAGCAGAAGAGAGATGATGAGGCAGAGAGGACAGAGGACTGTGACAAACCAGGGAAAAAGCCTAAGACAGGGAGCTTGAATGGAAAAGAACTGGATGATCCACTAAATGAACGTCACAAAAGGAAAAAAAAGAGGAAACATGAAGAGGAGAATGAAGGAGAAAACATCAGTTGTGATGAAAATACAGGCAATGGAGAAATTTCTGTGGGAATGTCTGAGGGGGAGGAACTCAGCACAGAGGAGCAGGAGGAAAAGCAGAAGAAACGCCACAAGAAGAAGCACAAAAAGCAAAAAGAGGAGGCAGAGGAGTGTGGGGAAGAAGTACCCAGAAAGAAAAAGAAGCACTGCAAGAACATTTAACCCTTTTAGACTCAAGGATGAGTCTGTGTTAGAGGAAGCTCTTTGTAAACATAGCACCAATCCAGACTTGGACACTGCTCCAGCAGACTGGATCTAAACTCAGGCTGGATCTAAACTCAGGCTGGATCTAAATTCAGGCTTGGTCTAAACTCAGGCTGGATCTAAACCCAGCTCCCCCAGGGGAAAACATGGTGATGGGCCAGCAGGAGCTTCATTGCCACATTCAAAAAGGATCCACATGGAGGATTAACACATCAAGACTGTGAAAAGCAGGGAATGACTTTCTACTGCTTCACACTGACTGTGTTTTTTTCAATCTAGGAAAAAAAAATCAAAAATCACCTTAGGACTGCCTTTTAATTAAAATTGTTTTCACTTGTGAGAGTCCAGCTCTGCTTCTGGAAGCAGAAGGGGGTTTGCAAAGTTGTCTGTGTTTTTTCATTGATTTTTGCAAGGTGGTGTCTAATTTTAACATTCATCTTTTTTTTACATATAAAATGAATGTTGTTTCTTCCCAAAATGCTTACTGTAATTAAAAGTTTGGTCCTGAGTGTCAGCACTAAAGGATGAAATAAAAAGACCTCCCTGTGCCTCCAAATCATTGTCAAACAATTGTAACTTTGCACCAAAGCTAAAGGAAATGTGTATTAACCTTATCATTTATTAACCATACCTAAATCTTTGATTTCCAGGCAATACTCAGGATCTCTTCACTGGTACCTCTGGAATCCAGAAAGCTGCCTTGGTTAGAGCAAGTTTTTTTCCTGAAATTGGGAGCCCAATAAAAAAAGCACAGCCAGATTGCTATTGCCATTCACACATTGAAAACTTGCAGTTTGGATTTATAACCAAACTAGAGCTCGTTTCTCATTGTAAGCCTGGAAATAAGGAATGCTGGAACTGGGCATTGCCACGAGCAGTTCTGTGGGAGATGTGAAACCTTCAGCATGAATTTTGGCATTTTAATGTCACTCAGAGCTGTCAGAAGAGATGGGTGAGCTTGGAAGTGGTGGACTGGGAAGAAGGATTCACCTTCCTGGTGTCCTGTCCTGATATTTCTTTGGCCAAAGCAAAGTGACAGCACAACCCTGAACACCAGCCAGTCATCCTGGCAGAATCCAGGATCCAAATTCATGAGCTGCTCATTTCATCCAGGCTGGGTTTCATCAGTGTAAATCTAAAACATCCCATTGGCTGCTCTGCTGAAGAAAATGGGTACATTTTTATATTGTCTCAGCTCAGCAGAGTTGCTTAACGTGGTCTGAGGAACATTGTCAAGATGCAGATGTTAATAGGGAAAAAAATTTCCTTAAGCTGCCTTTATTGTGCAGTGGAGGAAACTCCATCTGCAGCACCCAGACCACATGGATGGTTTGGTTGCAGCTCAACTCCTTTTTTAAGATCTCTTGGTTTCCAAAGCACCTTTTTTTTTCTGCCCTCAGGACATGCTCATTCATTGCAGCAAAATGAAATTTCACTTCTTGTATGGGAGAACAAGATGCCTTTCCCTGGATTTCACATGCCAGGGGTTTTAACCTTTGTTGCATCTCCTTTTCAGGCTGTACAATTATTATTCACCATAATTTTCTTGTCCCTGGCTTCCTTAAATGAAATACCACCAAATACCATCAGCTGTTAACAAACTAGGAGGAAACTCCATTCTTGAGGTGAAAAAATCATCCTCAATGGAAGAAGACAGGAAAATAATGTTTTATGTTAAGCTGAAGCATCCCTCCTGATTTCTTGCTCACCACAAGTTGGAATTTTTGTTATTAGAATCCAAAAGCCTGATTGTTTCCAATTATTATTTTTTAACTCTTAAGCCAACTAAACTTTACAGCCTCTCTGGGATTCCAGTTTAAAAAGGTGCTAGTCAAGGAATAAGGTTTCCTTCTCCAAATGCTGCTGAGCTTGTTTGTTTGTTCCCTCTGGGAATTTTCATGTTTTTCTGTGTGCTGATTCTTGTGGGTGCTTGGCCACATTCCAGTGTCAGTTACAGGAAGAATAAAACCAGGAATAAACCTTTAAATTTGTGCTGTTGCTCCTGTTAAATTTGGGATACCCAAGACTTAAATCTGGCTCAGATGGAAGTATCAGCTACCAATGGAAGATTCTCTATTTCTGCAATAAATACATGGCAGTTTATCTAGGGAAATGTGGAATTTTAATGTGTCCCAAGCTCTGCATGTGGTTGTAGGAGGGGAAAATCATAATAAATAAATAATCATAAATCATAAATTGCTTGTATTTGACAGAAGCAATTGATTTAACTGCTCTGCTCTGTGTTTGTGGTCAGCATTACTCAATGAAAAGCTCTTCATAGCAGATACTGTCCAGTGAAATGGATGATTGGAACAAGAGGAACATGTTTCAGAGTAATAAATTACACATATATATTTTGGGGTTTTTGTTTCTAGTGGGTTTTGAGTTCGGTTTTAACCCAACTCTGGGTTTGGCAAGGAGGCCTTTTTTAGAAAGCACAAGAAAAAGAATTACGTCAGTGCCCAGATGGTGGAATTAGCAGAATGTGAGCACAAAGGAACGACTTGGTTTCATTTCCGCGAAAATCTGACTTTCAAACTCCGAGGCCTTTTGTTATAAATTCATCCATTGTACTCACAGAATGAGGTGGCTCCCAGTGAAATTACCTGGACACCAAGGAAAATGAGACTCCCTGCTCTGCTGTCGTTCCTGAATGGGGAACGAGGCATGAGCAGCACAGATATTAAAATGTTTTCAGTTTTGGTAACCCCGGGTCAGCAGTGACTGGAGGAAATTTTCCTTTTTGCTTTGGGAATATTCCAACACTGGTTTCTCCTGAGCTGTTCCATTCTTTGCAGGGATAGGGCTGCTTTTGGCTTTGAGGCTCAGAATTCAGTGCAGGATCCACGGCCAAGGACGTGATTGGCAAATGCAATGTTAGAGCAGCAATAATGGAGCTTGGATTGTGCTTTGTAAACACCTGCAGGCACCAAACTACCCTAGGAAGTAGAGACCATGGGAAAATAGTCCTGGTACCATTGTTGGACCCAAATTTGTGTGAACTTTATGAGCTTTCCTTGGAGCCAGGGGTGGGAGATGACACTGGAGCATCCCAAGTGACAGCCCAGACATGTGGTAAAGGCAGAATTCCTTGAATTTCCTCCCAAGGTGTTCCAGCTCTGATGCTTCACACACAGCAGCGTAAAGCAGAGGTAGAGAATTGTAGAAGGAGAAATTGTAGAATCATGGAACCACTGAGGTTGGAAAAGCCCTCTAGGACCATCCAGTCCAACCATTCCCTCAGCACAGCCAAGGCCATCACTGACCCATGTTGTCCCCAAGTGCACCCTTAGTAACAAGCAGGGTTTTCTAAAGCATAAATGCAAGACACCATTGAATATTTCAGAACCGCCTCTGCTTGTGTTTAAGTGAATTCGAGTCCACTGAGAAGCAGCTGCTTTCTGACTTTTGTGAATTGAAGGGGTTGGAGAGTGTCCAGGGAAGGGAACAGAGCTGGGGAAGGGGCTGGAGCACCAGGAGAGGCTGAGGGAGCTGGAAAGGGGCTCAGCCTGGAGAAAAGGAGGCTCAGGGGGGACCTTGTGGCTCTGCACAACTCCCTGACAGGAGGGGACAGCCAGGGGGGTCGGGCTCTGCTCCCAGGGAACAGGGACAGGAGGAGAGGGAACAGCCTCAAGCTGTGCCAGGGGAGGGTGAGGTTGGACACCGGGAAGAATTTCTCCATGGAAAGGGTGGTCAGGCACTGGAAGGGGCTGCCCATGGCAGTGGAGGAGTCTCCATCCCTGCAGGGATTTCCAATCCATGTGGTTGTGGCACTTGGGGACACGGGGCAGAGGTGGCTTTGGCAGTGCTGGAGAATGGTTGGACTCGATGATCTCTCAGGGATTTTCCGCCCTAAACCATTCAGGGGCTCTGAAGTATTTGGGGACAGCTCAGCATGGCTGCAATTCTTGCAGCTGCCCTGCTGTTCTCTGCCTCCAGCTCCTCAGCTCTCAGCAAGGACAATTAGCTGCATTCATCAGCGTAATTAACCAATTTTCTCCTGTTTAAACACACAAGACCGAAGTTGTTGCAGCATCCACCTTCAAAAGGCACAATTTACGTCACGGAACCTCCGAACCTGCCAACACTGAGGGAAGGAAGGAAGCTCCAAGAAGAGAGGGAAACCACACAAAATCTGCTGGAAACGCTGCTCAGCATCACACCTGGCTGGAAAACAGATCTGGGAATGGTGTATCCTATTGGATATGGGGTGAGGATTTTGGGCATCCAAAGCCATTCCTAATTCCTCCTCATTCCTGGGCAGGAACCCCCAGGAAGGATCAGAGCTCGGAGACCTCGGGACAATAACCGAGGATTTTATCTCTGTACCTGTTCCATCCAGGGGTAAACTCATTTTTTTCTTGGATCAGCAAACTTTTAGTGATGTGGGACTAGGAAATGCAGTACAAATACACAATTTTGTGGTGGCAGAATTGGGAATATTGTAAAACAAATTGAAGCTCCGTTCCTCATCAAGTCAAAATCTGCTTCTGAATCACTCAAATACATTTTTCCTATCTTAATCCGTCTTTATAAATTTAAAGGTGTAATAGGGAAACTCTTCCTAGTTCCTTTTAAACTAAAGGCATTAAAATATTTGTTTTTGTAACTTTAAAACCGCAATTTAAAAGTAGTGAGAGCAGAAATATTCAGCACCATGCTGAAAAAGATAGCATTTTGAGTGGAGGAGGAGGTAGGTTTTCTGCTTTTTTTTTTTTTTTTTTTGTATGATGGGAAAGCTCTGGGGTTTTTTACTGAGAAAATAAATGGTCCAGGTAGCAATCCCTGGGGAAAACCTGGTGGAATCAGGGAGGATGGGCAGTGGGCAGAGTTGGGAACTGCAGCACTGAGAGAATCTTCTGCTGGGAACCACCAGCTCTCTCTGCAAAAACTTCCCTTGGGAGCCAAGAGTTTCATCAATAATTAAGGAACATGTGAATATTGAGCTAATTTAGGATTTGCACTTTCTCACATATTTTAATCTCCCTGAAGGTTGGTGGGGTGCGAGGTGGGAGAGGGGGGGGAGTGAAAATAAACCCTCCCTTTGCAGGAGTAAAATTCCAGATGTCGGATCCACACACCCCCCCCAGAAAAAAAAGAGATATTTTTAAAGGGACGGTGGTTCCATGTAGGGTTCAGCCACTCATTTTCTGCCTGGCCCATGGGATTTGTTGCCACTGTTCCCCATCCGTGAAAATGGGGGAGAACAAAGCTTTCTTCCCCCCTTTGTCTGCTCCGTCTATTTTTCGCTCGCGGCTTTTCGCCGTAATTTCCCTGTTCCCAAAGCCCTGGGAGAGCTCTGCTGCTTCCTGTGCCCCAGATACAGGTGAAACCTCGCAGCAGAGCGGGGAAGGTGAGCACACAAAAAAAAACCAACCCAAAAACACAACAAAAAACAAAGGTAATCCTGAGGTTTTTCCAGACTAATTACCCTGGTGGCAATTAAGAGGTGGCATTTTCACATGGCCCCAGCCTCCTTTATGTAACGTGGGAGCTTCTGACAGGACAGGTTTGACCAGCATTTTAGGCAGGGTGCAGAATGAAACCCTCCCTACTAATGCCATCAGAATGCCAGGTGCTGCAGGAGAGGGGGAGAAGGGAAAAAAAAAAAAAAAAAAAAAGTAGTTATTAATAATAGTAGCAGTGTTTGCACTTAAAATTCTGTGTGGGGGCCCTGGGAAGGGAGGAAATCCAAACGAGGAATATTCTGCCGGATTTCTTTGTGCTGTAACCACACAGGAGCCCCAGATTGTGTCTCAGGAGGTTCTGAAAAGCCACGAGTTGACCCCTGTGGTACCTTTGGGAGGTCAGATGTTACTCCCAGGATGTGGAGGGAATAATGAGGATCATGAACACCCGGAGAGGTGCTCTGAGAGCTTCCAGGCTTCAGAGGCACGAGGTGGGTGCAGGTCCTGTCCTTGCTCAGGGTTTTGTCCTCTTCCCAAACCTTTCCACCCATCCTGCAAAATGTGGAAACACAAGGCAAGGTGGAAGCGGTCCTGTAAAAGGGATCAAGTGGAATTAATCAATCTCTTTCCTTCTCCCAGGAAGGAAAATTCTGCTGCTACTACTAAAAATTCCTGGCCTCTGGGACTGAGGCGCTTTTATATTCATGATATCCAGGTCCTGAGCATCCTGAGGGTTAAAAAGGAACACTGAGCAGTGCAACATATTCACCATACCCAAAGCACAATCCTATTCAAAATAAAACCTTTTAACCCCTGGCAGCCTCTTTTTCAGGGCACTTCCACCTTTCCTAAAGGGAACTAAACAAAATTAAGGGTGTTTCAGGTTTTCGTCTCAAATCCTCGCTGCCAATCTCTGCAGCAGTTCCAGCCTGCAGGGGAAGAGCTGTGCAGGGCAGGGTGGAGAGTTTGGCATCCTCCCTCCCTGCCCCATCCCGGCACTTCAAGGCGTGAGACGGGACTTTAGGAGAGATGTGGAGCTGCTGGGACAGAACAAGCTGTCCCCAGGAGCGTGCCCGGCTCCAAACCCCAGATAAAAGGCAGCTCCTCCGTGTGTGTGTTTGTGTGTGTGTGTGGAGAGGGTTTATAAATCTGTCCCGAGACCAGGAAATCTCCTGCGCCTTTTAGATTTAAGAGAAGTTGCCTTCCTGTTGTATTCCCAGATAACGCAGCTCTGATGGAGCCCACTTGTAAATAGCTTAATAGATTTAATCAGTTCCTTTGGAAAATGTTGTTGCTTCCGCAGGGTTTTAGTTCAGTCCCGGGGAAAAGCTCGGGGAGGGCAGCTGCTGCTTCTGCTGCCAGCGAAGTTGGCAGATTCCAGCTCTGCTGACCCCAAAATCGCTGCAATCCACAAGAAACCACAGGCAGAGCAGAGGGAAAGGAGAGACCAGGAAGCCCAGGCGGATCCTGCCCGGCTCACATTTCCACGCGCTCTCTCCATCACTCCTAATCTGACAAGAGTCAATAGGAACACCCAGGCACGTGGGAAACCTGCCCCAGCTCCCATCCTGGGATCAGCGCCGGGGTTTTCCCCCCTGCCTTGGGCTCAGATGGGGCAGCCTCGGCCAACCCCAGGAAACCCCCGCCCATCCCGCACCCCGTCCCGCTGCTTTTTTGGCAGCACCGAGAGGAAACCCACGGCCAGAAAAACGGAGCCGCTGCAGCCCCATGCCCTCCGGTCAAAATCATAAAGGAATCCAGCCATCAAATCCATTCCCCCGGGCAGGT